ATTTCCTTACTGATTTCATGTCACAATGACCTTGAGCTTCAGTAAATTATTACGCAGCCAAGTACAACATTCTCAAATAAGGGAGCGCACGCACGTCAACAAAAGAATGTGTTCTCACCGAAGCAACCATGCCTAGCTTGGATTAAAGTTATTTAGTAAAACACTTGGAAAGTTGAGTTAGATTTTGGAAGGCCTGCATGTTAAGATATTGTCTTACCCAAGTTTAATTTGCCCTCTTGCCCTGCTTTCATACAGTTTATGTAAGTTAGAATCCAGGCCAATAAACTGAGTTAAAAGTTAAGCCTCTGCATGATGCAAATCTGAGTATCCACTTGGACCGCCTCCCAAGCCTCTGCTTTTTTTTAGTTCAAGAAGAGCCTGTGTTTGTTGTGAAAATGACAAAACTCGTCCTTAGCTACTTTATATAATGTATACAACTGCTTAAATTTTATATTCTCCCATGTTCAGAGTCAATGATTTTAATTGCTTTTAAAAGATGATGCAGCTTTATACCTTTGAAAAACACATACAGTATACTGAAAAACACACAACAGGTCACAAAGGTATAAATCATTCAAGAAATAATTTTAAAAGTCAAGCAGTTGGACACCAAAACAGACATTAAACTGATCAATATATACCGTTACAACAGCATGTACAAAGAACCAGGTTAATATGCAGTACACTGGGCACATACAAGCTATTGTCTACTGACATCATACAAGCACTGTAGCTTACTGTGATTAATATAATTTAAAAATTACAGGGGCATCTCTGGGGCTCATTAGGATGTATGATCCACTGGCACTGGTAATGCCTTCATTTTGCTCCTGTTTAATGCATTAAGATAAAACAGCATTAAAAAAATAAACTACAACATTATTTAGAACAAGGCTAACAAAAAAAGTTAACCATTAACAACAGTTTTACAATGTAGTGCAGTCAGGGAACAAAAGAAGGCTTGATGAATTTAGATGTTCATAGAACTTAAGCATTACATTCTTTTTTAAAATGCTGATGCTCTGAATCACTGTATTGTTTTGCACATTAAAAATATATTTTCTGGGCTTTTCTGTCTCATTAGACAATTGTTTAGTTTCAACTTTACACTGAACTGCTCCTCAAATGACAGCGGACACATTTATTTAAACATTAGGACCACAGACTGTATAAAATTTGGACACCGTGACAGCTGCCAGAAGCTGAGCCACCACGACTCAATCGCCCCCTGGTGGTCAGTTGCAGTAGAGTGCATAAATCCCACCCCCTCCATGTTAGTGGATGGGACATGAGCCAAACTAAAAACTCAAAGTACAAATCAAATAAAACATTTTCCCGGAGGTCATTTCTGTGTTTTGTTTTGTTGTTGTTTTTTTGGTAGATAATACCATGCTGATGTGTGAACAAATCATATTCTTTTTCTGTTAAGGTTGTTTTTAATCTGCTATACGATGATATGAAAAGGGGTCTATTTTGGATTATTTGATCTTGAGCTTTGATTGGCGGTCTGATATGTCACTCAGGTGCTTGGTCGCTGTTGTGCAGAATCTGGTTGCAAGCTGCCAAGATGGCAGCCGCTGTAGTCACGATATTTTGGCTTCATTTTTGCATAGTGGAGGGAAGAGGTGATGCATCGTCCATATTTATACAGTTAGTGGTCAGGATAATCATTAGCTGTGGTCACATTATTTTCATGGATCAACTGTGTTTGTCCATACCTACTGGATTCTCTTTTTGTCACCGCTCTTTGTCATATAGCAAACATTGTATGAAAAGACAAGACGGTGGCATGAAGGCAAGACAGCTGAAGTAAGTACAGGCTTCACTAAAGTTTATGAATGAAATTAACTACAATAAACTGAAACTGTCATAGTCAGCTGGACACAGTACTGTACAGCAAATTATATCATGCCTTGTGATAGGTGCTCTCTGCACTGAACAACAGTGGTACTATCAGTATGCAATCAACTGGATGGATACATGTATTACTTTTTGAAAAGGTGAAAGTTACACATATTGCTATATAACCACACTATGCATGCATGTACAAGCTTTCAAAAGAAATTATAGAAAGTGAATTCACAGTTATAAAACTGCTGACAATGGCCGACCGGTGCAGAAGAAGCCACTCAAGGCAATTAAAAGTTTTTGTTTTGCTTGATTTTAATAAACAAGGAGCAGCTGGATTGAAAGAAGTTATAATCTGCTATGATTCTAGCTCCTTGACCAAGAGATACAATTTAAGTCTAAGTTACACTTTGCATCATGTAGAGCGTAGTTGTATGTACAAAAGGATTTGTTTCATCCTGTTTGGTTTATTCAAAAACTGGTGATTGTTGTCAGATCAATAAATTATCTGTTATACTGTTCAACATCTTTACTGTGGCAGTGATTAGTTATCATCAAGGCATTCCAGAGTTTTTGTGTTTTTATGTGTGTGTGTTTCCTCTCCAAAGTTTAGCAGGGCCAGTCAAGAAGTTTCACATTCTACATCTAAAGGCCTTCCAGTGTTGGGCTGGCTCCAAGTTTAGATCTGTTGTCCTGTTGGAACATTACTGCCCTAACCTAAAGATCTCTGGCACTCTGAACCGACTTCTCATTCAGTATTTGCCTGTTTTTGGCGCCATCTTTTTTCTGTGACCCTACAAGTCTCCCATTCCTTGCAGATACGACCTGCTGCTCACAGCATGACGCCGTCTGCACCATGTTGCCTCGATGCAAGGGTGTTAGTGTAAGGTGACAAGCTGTGGACTGCACTTAGTGCATTACATTATAGGTGATGACTTTCATTTTATCAGTTTGCTTCAAGCTTGTAATTTGCACTGTTCTTACTTCACATGGGTTCAATATTCTCCATAGGGACTGTACAGTATTTACACAGACACCGTTAAGCATGCAGAAGAAGGTATGGTGCATCTGTGGCACAAATAACTAGGTAATAATAACTCATGTTGCCTTTTGGATTGGGTTGTAAAGTCATCAGAAAATGTAAATTGATTTTGAAGCTGTGCTGTGGATAAATAAGGTAACTTCTGTCAAATTTTCTCCACTTTCTCTTATACCAAGAACCTGCTTTCACTAGTTTATACACTACATATTTGGAAGGTAATGCTTTATACTTGGTAGCATAAAGAGAAAATGGCTCTATGCATTTGCTGCCAACATGATAAGACAAGTGCAGAACAACACTAAGCACACAGTGTTCTAGAGATGTGCAGCACCGGCTCAGTCAAACAAGCGCAATGCACTGTGTGAAGACAACACGTGTAAATGCTCAAGCACTTTAAAGCATTTTTCTCTTCTGATAACAAGGTTGTAAAAGTACATCATTCGGGCTGACAATAATTTGCTGAAATTTTACACTGTACTACTGATCATGTATGATATTTGATTTTCAGGAGTAGATAAAAGTAAATACTGAAATATTGTTTATGCTAATACACAACTGAGGTTTTGGTTGTATGGCTGCTACCCGAACACAGCACCTGATCTATAGCTTGACATGAGCTGTCATCCTGTCTGCTCTTCTTCCCAAAGACAAGATAAATAAGCCTCTGAATTTATTGTGTTTTAATCTTCAATAATTTAACCCAAAGAAGCAGTAAATACAACTGGGAGGGAATTTTCTTTCACCCTAGCTGGTGAACAGCCTGTCAGCATGCAAGTGGTAGTAAAAACGATGTAATTAATTATTGACTCAATTGACTTATACTTTCACTTTTACATTTTTGGACTTCTTCTGTCCTCACAGTAGGTTTTATCCTAACTGCTCACCTGCAGCGCTAAAACTACTGTATATTAATTACAACAGCAGAAATATCAAACTTATTTCAGCAAACATAATATTTTAATTAAATAACTGACTATCATATCTACACTGATTTTCATAGCAGTCACTCAGGCATTTTTACACATTTAATTAGGGATGCACCAATGCTGATACCAGTATCTGTCCAATACCACCCTTCGACTCGTACTAATAAAAGCTGTCCAATTCAACACACCGATACCTTAACAACATTACACTAACCTCCCACTGATTTGATAGGCAGTGGAAAAAATTTTCAGTGGTTCAAAGATATTTGTTAGATATGTGACAACTACAAAAGTAAAGCCGACTATGAGATGCGAGTCTCTGCTCTGCTGTGTGTGAGTTTGTGATGTCAACGCTCAACATGGAACAAAACAAACAGTAATGGAGAGTGATTAACCAAACACCTGTTGAACAAGCAGAACATGACAACAAACTTACTAAAATGGGACATCTTCACTCCCCCCGTGATTAAAAGGCCTGGTCCCATTCACCCACTAAACCCACATGGTGCCCTTTAAGCTGGCTGTAATCAATTGTTGTGATTGAGAAGAAACAGGTGCTAATTTTATGTAGTTAACAGTGGAGTCTAATGAGCTCTGTGTATGAAAATGAGTTGAATTCTTGTGGACCTGGAGGCTGAGTAGGAGAGCAGTGCAGGAATGTGTCCAGCAGAGAGGACAGGGTCAGTAGCCAGTTTAAAGGAAGAGCTGCAACCTTGTTAAATCAAACATTTAAATTGCCCACTATGATATTATGCTCTCCTTAACTTCGACATTCTGGGCGGCAGGGTCATGAAATCATGTCATCCTAACACAGGGTCACACTCCTAAAAAGGTTAAAAACCATTACATTCATTAAGTTGTGCAGTGGGCTACAGAAAGTCAGTAACGTACTATATTCAATAGGAACAGTGGCAGTGCTGTGTTCATTATCACAAAATGTATTAAGGTCATTTGCACAGCCTCCTGTTAGGTAATACTTAATGGCAACCAGAAGGTAAATCTCATAAAAATAAAGTCTCTAAAGTCACTGCGTTTTTATAATAATTGTAATTTTTATAATAGAAACTTCATTAAGTACTTGTATAGGTACTTTGTATCAGCAAGTACTCAAATTATATGTATTTGCCACGGTCTAATGAAGATCATGTGGAAAACCAAAAGTTTTTAGCCCTGCTACTCTTAGGTTGCTTTAATATTGATTTACAGACTTACTGTGCATGTTAAATTGCATTTGTTCTCCAGGTAAAACCACAAACTCTCCACTCCACAGCAGCAGAGCTGTCAACAGGTGATGCCTTGCAGCTTTGCCGCTCTTCAGTTAAAAGCTTTAACAGTTCTGCACAAACAATCTCAATTATCGCTAAAGTCAAAAAAACAAGTTGAGCAATAAAGTAATGATTACAGGACAAGAGGTCAAACTGGTAGGAAAGCAGTACAAAGCTTTTGTTAATGTTTATCAAGGCAACAAAAATGAGTTGGTTTTTGATTTACAAAACAACAACTTCTACTTGTGAAACAAGATTGGTTTAGCTAAACCTGTCAGGATCTTTGGTACATGCACCGAGATGATTTCTCCAATCATCTCTGGGTAGCTGACCTTTGTGTGAGGTGACTGAGCCTGGACAAAAAGGTCAAATGTAAACTGATGGAGCTTCTTTACTGTCTGAAACAGAAGGAAAAATACAAAGAGACATCATTTGACATCATCATCAAGTTACTCCCAACTAACGCGCTTCCAAAGAATGCATGGCCTAAAAATGTAAGGACTGGAGAGCTCTGAATTATAGTAAACTCATCCATACACTGAACAGTAGTTGGATGTTTTAAACTTCTAAGTTTCTACTTGTTCTGGCATGAAAGCAGCACATCTTTGTAGGGTATTAAAAACACAGCATAGCCTTGAATTTAACTGCATATATCACCACTAAATGTTTTAAGTACCAGAATTAAAACCCTTGATTTATATTATTTTCCCTGTTTTTCTAAATTGGTACAATGCAGCCACATGTTCTAACATGGGGAAGGAATATGTGTGTACATATATTAACTGTTAGGCTAAAATGATAAGCAGCAGTGTAGCTCACCATCTGGAGAGAGTCCAGGAGCTGAGTGAGCTGGTAGAACCTCTGAGAACAATTGGTCGTCATTCGATAGTTAATGAGGCGATCGAGTTCGTTGATGTAGGTGAGACGCAATTCATCAAAGTACTTCTGATTCTTCAGACCCTCAACTGGAACTGGTGAAAACAGTTAAGTGTTGACTACATGTTTGTGACTTTGTTCTCTTTACTGCACCTCCACTAGTTTGTTTTTGATGTTTGGATGCTCAGTACACAGGACAGTGCTTACTAATGCTGAAGAGGAGCAAGGCCTTCATGCAGAGAAACTCCTCCTGGGTGACCTGCAGCAGCGCAAACTCCTGTGAAATATGTCTCATCCGTATGCAGTGCTCATACATGGTGGAAACGTGCATCCGATGTCTGCAGGCGTAAAAAGGTCAGAATGAGAGTCATGAATGCATGGGAACGTTCAAATCAAAAGAGGTGGCAGATAAATTACTTGATACATTGGACATTTATTCTGTAAGAAATCACTACAGAGGAGGAAAAAATGTTGTAATGGGGACAATGACAGTGAGTTTTCTTTGTAGCAGTACATATTTCTGCAGTGTGATCTCAGAATCCCTTCATTTATCACTGGGTTAAGGTTCAGGATTGGAGGTGACTGGTTATTTCAGCAATCTTCAATTATTTCAACAGGCATTGGAGAACAAGAGGGGGAGGTCAATGCTTGCCATTTCTTCCAACAATAAATCATTTGACCTTTATTATGAACCAGGAAAAAGACAGTTTGTAACATATTCTTATGCTGTGAAGATAAAAAGGAAATTTTACCAATTGCAGACTACAAAAAGAAGCTCAAACTGAAAGTCAGAGAGATATGAGCTGAATAATGAACTGCATATTCTGTCTCTGCAAATAAATGCAGAGGTTCAGTCTAGTGGGTGTAAATGTTTAATAAACACAGGCCAGTGTATACTATAATTAATACAGAGTTCACAATAAGCTAGATGCTAAAAATAATGTCATAGTTGTGTGCTCAGGGGTCTAATAAAGCCTAAATTACAAAACTGGTGGCAGCAGTTTTGTAAATTAGGCATAACCAGTGATGTTAGTAGACAGTGAGTGTTTAATGAAAGAGCCACTGAGTTGATTTGTGGGAAATATAGGACTCTGTGTTTTAGGGGATTGCGCCATAATTAGCCATCTGCTATAAGCTTTTTAACCTGGAATTCCAGTACTGAATCTCTGAAAGGGCCCTGTATTTAGAATCAGATATCAGTGACATTGTCCTAAACTAATGGTAATCTTACTGTATTAACAATAAAATCACAATGTCATTCTCTTCCTTCAAGGCTGATAAGTTTCAGTCTGTTACAGCTGCATGGACACTAAGGCTTAACTCATGGATAAAAGGATCTAACTGACTTGCAACTATATAAAAGCAAGTAGGAACACTGTCCTGATATACCCACTCTAACTGATCCACACTGATGCACACAATTACATGTAAGTGCCACAAAAAGATTTGCATGACAACATACAAGTGCTGGTAAACACAATGACCTGCAGGAAGTGCATTAGTGTAGAGCTAAACTAATGACAGGTATATTTTCTAAAAGTCCTCTTAAACTAATGCATTTACTGACTGCTGCAGGACTTAATCTGAACAACAAGTAAATCAGGCTGACGTGCTCACTCTGTGATATAGTAAATGTTCACGCTACCTTCCATACATTCATATGACAACGTTATAATTCTTGAGTCCAGGATTCAGACGAGTTCAACTCGAGTCCTGATTTTCAGTATTTGTGACTCGACCTGGAGGTGACTTGAACTATTCTTTGGTGACAATGGGGACTTGAGACTCAACTTGGACTGGAGATTTAGTGACTCGACTACAGCACTGGCCTGCACTCTGTGTCTATAGTGTTGAGCTTTGTCAGAAACTTTGCTGTGTTGTAAAATTATTGCAGTGTCACATTCATGGACACTAAAACAGCAAAAGCAGAAAGAACAAGGTTTTAGGTGACACGGTGATTGTTCTACATATAATTATAAAAAGCTTTACGTATATGCTTTCCTGTAAATTAAGCTTTTGTGAATAAGCGTCTACTTATGAATAGTGTCATTAATGTGAGACATTATTTACTGTTCATATTAACTGACACTTTATTTACAACTTTATTTATTCAGTGCAGGGTCACTGAATAAATAACCTGCCTCACACTGACATAGTTACACAGTCAAGTCTGGGAGCTGCCTAGTATGAACATATCTGTTGGTCACTTAGATGCTTCAGTGGAGAATGTTTGGTTTTGTTGCTCATTTAATTCCTCTCCCAGATTTTTCATGATGGTTCAAGATTGAGCCAATTTTTAGTGAAGTGCTGCTACAGGCCTCCAAGTGCTGAGATGTTGTATCTTGAGAAAATTAGCAATTTATTAGGAAGACTGTCTGAGGAGAACAAAGAAGTATTTATATTGGGTGTCACTGCCCTGTTAAAAAGAAAATGTCATTAATATCCTCTGCATGTAGTTTAAAACAGGTTATGGCAGTACCTACTAGAGTTACAGTTAATGCTGCAGGTCACATAGCTCTTCATCATGTACTGATCATATTTATACAAATGTTTCAGCATTGTGTTCAGATATTATATTTGTTCCAATTGGTTATAGTGACACAAATTTTGTTGGTTTAGTTTAATTTTATATATACATATTATTTTTTATTTGTTTCATTTAAAATTGTTGATATTTTGTGACCTTGGTGAAGATCTGATCACGTTTCATGACCAATTTATGGAGAAAACCAGGAAACTGCAAACGGTGCCAATACTTTTTCTTGCGACTCTATAAACAAGCATAGACGGCAAAATTCATGCATTTGTATAAAGTGTTGTTACATTTGATGAACAGGAGCATTGTGCTGGACAAACATAAAGAATTAATGCTTATGAACTGAATAACCACTGATTTATAGATCAACTTACACTATCAACTATATCTAAGGTAGTAAACATTTGATGGAACTAAATAAGATTTCAGGTGATGTATCCATTAATGCTCCTTGCTAATACTTGAACAGATCTAACTACTGTTGTTTTAACAGTCAGATCTGAATCAGCTTCACTCACCAGGATCATGAGAATTTGAATGCCTGTAAGCTAATGTTCCCTGGTCAAAGTAAGAAAAGAACATCTAAGGCTAAATTGGATGAACACTGTCCTAAGCCTGCAGCCATTTCTACTTTATATTTGTAAAATTCAACAGATGACTTTGTGCAAGAGCAGGGAAGCCTGAGGCGAAAGATAAAGAAAGACATACATGATAACAGAAAAACTGGTGTGTCTGTATTATATATGAGAGCACCAGTACACTCACTGGGGTGATTTTTAACTATAGCGTGTTGGTCACCTCGTGAAATCTACCTGATAAAATCCTTTCAGGGAACATAATTGAATTTAAGAATTCAGAACTGTACATACTCATTGAACACAAGATCCGGGGCGAAGTAAAGCATCCTGCCATTGACGTTCTTATAGGACCTCCATCCCAGAGCCAACACCATCACCCCCATCCATGAATGCTGAATGATAGTCATTTGGTCGTCCATATGGAGATTTCTAAACCCTAGGGACAAAGATTCTCAGTCATAAAATGTGACAGAACATTTTGTGCTAAAACATTATGAATACCAGAACATTTATATTAAAGTACTCCACCCAAAATCTTGAATATCAAACAACTCATTTTAGGGAACACACTGGCCTTTTTAAAACTGTTCTAATTGTTTGCCTCAGATGACCTGGTTTCCTAAGGATGGTTCAGGGCCACTACTTTTTAATCTTTTAATTAACAAACAGCTTTATGTGGCTGTGTCTCCTGATTGCACAGGACCAATTGATGATTTCTTTTAGACATTAGTTCCTGAATGTCACAAAACCTCTTATAGCTCAACTAGGATAAAAGACTTTCTAGACTATTATGCTGCACATTTATTGTTTAAACAATGTTTTAAACTGTATTTAGAAGCAGCCAAGTGGAAAAAACATTGCGATTTTGTAATTCCCGGTCAGAGATATCGTGCAGTCTTTCCTCTACAATTATGAGTGTCGCTGCTGAAATATCAAATGGTTCATTAATATTCAGAATGAAATGAAAGCACCATTACTTTCTACACTGTTTCCACTCTGTGCAGCTGGCTGTGGCTAGTATGAAATGAAGGTGACCCTACCACAAACCCATACAAAAGTGATATCACCATTTTGCAGGCCCCTCTAGCAATTTTGGTGAGTGCGTAAGCAGCAGCTGGCCGGTTCAGTTAGAAGCAGCAGCATACATTAAACAGATAGTATGAAGAATTACTAACTTCTGTAAAAAATACTAGCAAGAGCATAGAGCTGATTACACTATGAATAAAAGTCAATTTCTGCGTGCGCAAACCACTTTTGAGAAATGTAATATTAATATTAAGCAGAGGTCTATTATGTCAGCACCTCATTAACACCCTAATGATTCCAAAGTGCTCTAATTCATTTGAACACCGTTTTCAGATCTTTGAAAGACTAGCTCATTAAAAAAAGAAAGGGTGATGTGGCCATGGAGGAGCTAAGGTCAGTAAAGTAAAGTAAGGATACAAACTAGTCACCTATTAAGTTAATGAGAGGATGTTTCTGTTCGATATTAATGTGGTAATGCTGTTATGCAAATGAAGCAAAATGAATATGTTGTTTTCTACAGGTTGCTGACTGGAATGCTTATGTGTGTTCCCTTAACAGACATGTAGAAGGCAATGCAGGTGAAGGAGGAAGAAAGGAGAGACCAGCAAAGAGGAGAGAGAGGAAAGGGATGCAATAGAGCAGACATTTATTACTACAGAACCCCACGTGTCAAAAACTCCCGGTAAATTAACACACACATGAAAGTATGAAGACGAATTACCCTGTGTCTAGCTAGTCCTTCAACATGAATCACAGTTAAACTCATGTCTGACCAAACTGGTTTTCATTATCTAAAACACCACCATGTGTGCCCACTTCCGTCTCTCTGACTGACAGTGAAACACTAATGCTTGCTTTTCATCTTGCAGCCACGTTTGTTGCAGTGTTGGTCTGACACAAATCACAGCTGTTTCAGAACTTTTTTGCCTGGAGTACTGACTAGGACCAGAAGGAGAGAACAAATTACACCCAGTCTTTACAGTTCCCTGTGAGTTTTGTTGTGATTTCAAAATTCTTTTACTTTTTCCCTTAACTACTCTTTTTCGCATTTAAAGTGCTTCCTGGTCTTGCAACAGCCTTCTTGTCTGACATGCTTTCAGTGTGGTCTCTCAGTCCCTTTGGCAATTTAAGTCTTTCACTTGCTCCAAAGAGGTGGACAGCGACTTCTGGTGAGCCAGCTTTTACTTTTTATGCTCTGAGCTCTTGAAACAGTTTGGTCATGGCACTGTAAAAAAATGTTTTTTGTGTGTGTGTTTTACAGAAATATACCTTAAAATATTACAATTTTTTTTTATATTGAGAGCATATATACCTGTAAAATACAGTAAAATCAGTTTTTTAAACAAAACATTAAATAAATGCAAAATAAAAGTTATAGTCTGTAATTTAACATAGTGGGAGTTTTAAACAAAAGTTAATAGCTAATAAATGGTTTTGACTGGGGCTCAGGAGGTAGAGCGGGTCGTTTCCTAACCGGAAGATTAGTGGTTCAATTTTCAGCTTGTCCAGTCAACATGTCGAAGTGTCCTTGAGCAAGACACTGAACCCCCAGTGATAACACTGGTCTGTGAGTGTTTGTGAGTGCAAATGGGCGAATGGCCAAGTAGTGTGAAAGTTCTTTGAGTGTGCTGTAAAAGCGTAGAAAAGTGCTATACAAGTATGAGACCGTTTACCATTTAATGCTGGCTGAAGCATCAATCATTTCCCATGCTTATCTGAGTCAGAAGAAAAGCAAATACAAGATGTAGATATCTTGGGTAGATGTTACAGCTAACTAGAATGATGACCTGGTCATTGGGTCAGCCAGCAAGTTGACCCAGTTGTATGATACGCATAAAAATTATTTGACTAAATTCATGTTTATTCTGTAGCTAACCAATTGCCCTAATGATGCAGTTTCATGCCACTTTTTGTTTTCCAGAATCTCTACAATGAAGGTAATGATAGTGAAGTTAGCACTAGCTATAGAATCTCCATACCGATTTTAAGGAGAAATACACCAGGTAAAAAAAAGAAGTTATTCTTTAATGCGTATGTTGCATGGTTACTTTTATGGTTAATTTGGAGGGAGACGTTTATCTTTTGATTTGTATAATTCGAATGACATAGTGGAACCGTGGTTAGCACGTCATCTCACAGCAAGAAGGTTCCAATCATCCTCCAGTTTATTGTATAATTCGAATGACATAGTGGAACAGTGGTTAGCGCGTCATCTCACAGTAAGAAGGTTCCAATCATCCTCCAGTTTGTGGTTCTCCACAGCAGAGGGGGATGGTTTCCTGTAGTCATTGATGTCCTATAGGCTTCTGCACACAGATGAGGGGTAGTTGGCTGAAAAGAGCTTTTTGGAGTAGCTCTGCTTTGCTACTCTGATCTTCATTGTCAGTGTGTTCCTGGCCTGCCTGTACAGGATCCTGTTCCCACTCCTGTAGGCCTCCTCTTTGGCATGACAAAGCTGCTTGAGTCCTACTGTAAACCAGGGCTTATTGTTGTCGTATGTGCAGAAAGTCTTTACAAAACCCGATGTATGATGTCACAGTGTCACTAATTTCATCCAGGTCTGTGGATGCAGCTTCAAAAACCCTGCAGTCTGTACGGTCAAAGCAGGCCTGTAGCTCTGACCTTGCCCGCTCAGCCCATCTCTTCAGTGTTTTAGCTACAGGCTTTGCAGCTTTAAGTTTATGCCTGAAGGTTGGGATGAGATGAACCATGCAGTGATCAGAGACCAAGGGCTTCACAGGGGACAGAATGATAGGCGTCCTTTATGTGGTCCAGTGTGTTTTTGTCCCTGGTGGTACAACTGATGTGCTGTCTGCATTTAGGCAGTTCATGGGTGAGATTTGCCCTGTTAAAATCCCATAAGACAATGAGTAAAGAGCCTGGATGCTTCTGTTTCATGCAAAAATCCTGGTCAGCTAGGTGCTGCAGTGCTTTGCTAGCACAGGCCTGAGATGGAATGTGAACACTGACCAGGATAAATGAGGAAAACCGCATGAATAAAATAGAGTGCAGTTAATGAACAGAGTCTCCAAGTCCTTGATACAAGTTTTCCTTAACACTGTATCATCCTTAACACCAATCTTCATTTACAGTATGTAGGAGCAGATTCCTTCTCTCGTTTTCCTGGATAACTCAGTTACACAATCCACTCTGTGCAGTTGGAAGCCCGGCAGCTGTATTGTGCTGTCCACAAACAATTTGCTGAGCTACAGTATGTCTCAATGAAGCACAGAGCAGCAGAATGCAAGAAGTCAGCGTTAGTCCAGTTGACAAGATGTAGTTCCTCTATTTTGTTGGCTAGAGAGCGAAGATTCACTAGATGGATGGATTAGAGCTGGCGTAGTTACCCTGCTGGGGTACCTTAACCAGGGCACCCACACGCTTTCCTCTCCTGTATCTCCTCCAGGTCTCATAGATAGATGCAACTCCTCCGACTAGAATGTCCACACAATTTTTTTCCGTCCGTAAAAATGAGAGAAAAAGTATTAGGAATGAGTTGTCATATGTTTAAGAGCTCTTCTTTGGTGAAAGTAATCCGGGATGGATTGCGGAAAACTAACAAAAAGAAGCCAAAAACTGCAAAAGAGAGGACACAACCGAGGCTACCATCCGCGGTGCCACCTTGGCTTGAACTCATCTTTAGTGTTCACTTATTTGTTAGCTAATATTAGATTTTGTAATGCTATGGAAAGATACTGTAAACTGTAACTGTTTGAAACTGAAACTTGAAACTTGCCAACTGCTAGCTATTGCCATGTTATCACATCATGCCTTAACTTAACACAACTTACCAGGTTACACAAGAGGAAAAATGTCCATCCCCCAAAATCATATCCAACCCATATCATTTTGCTGAAGTGGCCCACTCCTAGCTACCTTCACATGGAAGCATGCACACCTTATAGACCTGATCATACCTGATTCACATGGCAAACTGGTTGGCTGACCAAGGGTCCAAAATTACTAGCAAGTGATTACTCTATATGACTGTGCTACCAAAACCATTCAAGCATGTTTATAACAACATGTTTTCTAGGTTATCTCACACATCACCAGGATGAACACGTTAAGTGTTTAATGGGCTATGGTCTAGCATTATGCAGTTGGGCACTGAGCTACATTACTCTGAGTTCTTTCTATTTCTTTGCCCCTGCTATTTACATACACTAGGAATAAGCCTTTAGAAACTACTCTAAATGAATTAACACCTTAAAGACAATGTCAACAAAAACTGGACATTGCAGGCATCATAAAAATAGACTTAATGGCAGAGCATGTAGGTTGGATTAAATTAGTACATGTGTACCAAATAAATTAAAACCATTGAGTGAACTTGATGTATTCTCTTAGGAAGATATTAATATATCACATGTTCATCTAAACCTTTTATAAACATATTACATAATATCCATAGTGTGTATTTTTTAACATTCAGTTTTATCATATGTAAAAACAGGTTCTCATATTTACTTCAGGAGCCAAAAGATAACGTGAAATCTTGCTGCAATAACAAAACTTGAAGTCACAGATCCTCAGATGCCTCTTCAGCCCTTAATTCTAGACAGAAGATATCTGCTCTGACCTGCTGTAAGCAAAAACACTGTCTTCAGCCTTTGACCTCAGTGACAGGTACATTTAACTGTAGAATGATTTTGGACAGTGCACAGTTCTTTTGTAATTAATGCTGGAGAGTCAGAGCTGGAGTCTAGAACAATCTGGCAGGTTACTGGTGGGAGAAGGCTGCTTATAATGGGGTGAAAACCGGTGTGATCATTGAGGAGCAGGTGAAACTAATGTGAGTGATGATTGAAGTAAAAAGTCCGAAACTGTGGTGAAACAAAAACGGGAAGTAAAGTCAAAATAAGCGCACAAAAGGAAGCAAACGGAACCGAATCATGACACTTGTGATTTCCCAGTATACTTTGTGGTCTGTTCAGCTAATGAATGGCCGAGACCCACCGGTTTTAATTTCAGCACCAAGGGAGCTCCAGTGTTCATTCGTTCATGAGAGGATCTCCACTGTTGTTCAAAAACAATTAAAAATACATCAGGGAAGCACACCACTGGACTGCGTGATGTTTTTTTCATTACGAAACCCGATACGGTTTTGCTGCCCATAATTTTCTGAAGTTAGCATGAGTCAGAGTCAGCTGTGCATACATGAGATCTTGCATGAGCTCTCAGCTTTGTTTATACTTTCCAATAACTCCTCATACTCAGGTCTGGGGTTTGCTAGTGTTACTCCATACAATATAGTGTGTGTGTATACACAATTGTATGCAATTCAATGCAACGCTTTTGCTTTAGCACCTGTGTTTATGAAATGTTGAAGTTTATGGTGAAATTGTCATAAATGTATAAATTCAATTATATGTTTATTATTGAGGTCACAGTTAAAGGAGGCGTTATACTGGACTACATTATATTCAGACTCTCATGTATGTAGCTGGGGAGAACAAAAATATCAAGACATGGATCTGGTTCAACTTTTGCTGTACCGGATGGTGACATCATCCGTCAAAGGTATTGTGTTGACCAGTCTCATACAGGGAAACGTGAATGAAACCACTCGCATTGACACGCCACAAAGTGGCTGTATTATACACGCCTACAACACTCCTTTTGCAACCGCTCACCCCCTAACCAACCCAGCCCCCAACATTCAAACACAGCAGGGAGTTTACTGCACGCAGTCTGAATGCCCACTACCTTGTCAAACATGTGGGTTGGTGTGCTCACACTAGAACATCACCTCCTGCAGTTGTTATGTAAATTTTCACGCTTTCTAGCACTGTGTGACAACTGGTCATGAGTCTAACCAAAATACATTCAAGCTGGAGCTGGCCACAGCACACATACTCAGAGACGAACTACACTACCACCTTGAGCTACCTTCCACTGGGAGCTAAATGGTTGATACTCAAAGAACAGATCTCTGGGTAGCTTTTCCAAGTTTACGAGCATAATCATAGTTTTCCACACAAAAATGTTGTATCTAACAAAAGTGATGAAAGGCCACATCAGAAAAACTATACAAAAGTGCTAGTTTACTGCATTTGGTGTAGGTATGATAGCTCATGGGATGGAACAATAACGTTATTATTCATTATCATAAAAGGAAACATGTCTTATCTCTGGCCAGTTTTAAAAGTTGCTATAATCAGCGTTTTTATATCAACAGTAGATAAAGTGGCTGCCTAACTTTGCCGTTCCCCTCAGCTTTATGAATCATTTTAGTGTATTTCAGCTCCTTGTTTTGGTTTTATGGAATGCAATTTCACTGTTCTGATTGAATCTCAGTGCTTTCATCAGTGCCCATGTTGTACAGCAAACAGCTGTTTTCAGGCAGAGACCAGCAGTGGCTAGCTGGTGAACCTATTGGAGCATTTAGCTGCAAAACAGCCCAACATATTGCCTCAGGAGTTGGTAATGAGCAAAACAGAATTAAAAGGAGCAGAAAATATTGCACTTTACCTTTATCAGACACACACACAAATAACACAAATAATAACAGACACTGTTGCTGTGTCTGCTGGATGTGTAATTGAGCAGTTTTTTGCTAACACATATGCTGTACTGACTTCAAAAAGGTGATAATATATTCAGTCCTGTGTTTACAGCTTGTTTCCACTACTCCCATGTGCCCCAAAAATCAGAGCATTCATTAGTCATTTCACAGCTAACGGTGAAACCTTTTTGAAATAAAACAAAATGAGAAATGCCTAACATGAGAATACATAAATGAATAAATAACTCTGTGTGATTAAATAAAAAAATCAGCTGATCTACCAAAACTTCAACCGGTGTTCTACCTGGAAGTCCTTTCGCCCATTTGACCACTTTGACCAGTTGTCTCTCTCCGAGCTCATTGAGGCTGGTGAGCAGGGTGGCTGCTGATTCTGGTTGGCCGTAGTCATATCCTGCATTTACCACCTCGGGCTCAATGGACTCCAGGATGCTAAGGAAGATCAGCTGGGAGCTGAAGTTCACATCTGCTTTAGGAGAGATACTCCGGGCAACCTCAGCAGGTTCCTGGACAGGATGATCCTCTTCAAGGGTTTTCTGTTGTCCAATTTTCTTTAGTTTACGTGCTGCAAGCAAAGGCAAGAAATAAATAATATGTTCATTTGTTAAAAGGCTCCATCTTTACACACCTGACCTGTATGCCTTTTCACTTACTTAATTGAAATAAAAAAAATGTAAAAGTTACCATCAGATGATATTTTTTGCACACTATTAGATCCCTTCAGTTCAGGCTGTGAGAAGTGATTGAATTTGCCTGGTGAATCCAGCTGTCCTTGCTCTGAGGACTTGGAGCCATGATGGATTTTCTGCCTTTGATTTTATGATTTGTTACTGCACAATTGGACCCCTTACAGCGAAATGAGGCAGGTAGAATGAACAGATGATGTTCATTTCACAGGGTTTCCCCAGTCAAAATGTAATAGATCCCAGTACAATTACATATACGTGTGGGAATAGTTTTAAAAATGGTATAAAACATGAATGAAGAGGTAGAAATTACAACCTGTTTCTGCTGTATGTCTTTCTATCGTGTGATCTGGTGACATGCACAGTATTTTGTTTACACTTTTACAATAAGCTTCTACAGTACGTTTCTAATGAGATCGTCAATGTTTAACTGACAGACCTCTGCCTCTCATGTATTATACTTATTAATAAAAAAAAAAAATGAAGCAAATATGATGTTTATCAGTCCTGACCATTTGGTTCACAATCAGCAAATCTCTTCCTCTCAGGTCATCATTTCTACAGTAAATAAGACAATCTGAACATACTGTATGCACTCTATGGGTAACTAATACTGTTACCCAGTATAACTACTACTAATACTGTCTGCACACAGTGTAATTCTGCTTTCTAAATCATCTGTTAGAAATGTCTCATACTGCAATTATGGCCTTTAAGTTACCCTTTTAAGGGAAATAGCCTTTCACCAAACAGCATCTACTAATAATTTTAAGGATATTGAATGAAATTCCATTTGAAAGAAAACTCTCCAACCAGATGAGTCTCATCTGGTGGAAAGCCCTCTGGACATTGTGTATGAGTGATTGCTGACAAAATGCATGAATGATTTTTTTTTTCCTTTTACTTTTACAGAGGTATGAAAAGATGCCTTTTAATGATAGATTGTGCAGTTTCGTATTATATCTGTGTTTCCTTATGCACTACAAACCATATAGGGATTAACAGACGACAAAATGCTAGAGAAGAACAAATACTCTACCCCATAAAAAAAACCTTGTTCCTCCATCTTCAGCAATGACAAAGCTACAGTTTCTTGCCCAACAGATCTGGAAATTCAGAGGCAGCTCCTCTACATGACCACCTGCACTTACACACTACAGTAAATTTCGGCCGGATCTTTTATTCGATGGAGTATATTTCCATATACAGTAAGTACAGATACAATCAGAATGGAATAATTTTTTATTATATATGTTACAGTGGCATCTACAACAAAAATAAGACCCAATTTCATGATCTAATCTTTGACAATCACTTTCAGTAGGTAAAAAACAAACCTTCAATTGAAAATTGGGGGAGCTAATATAGAACGAGTATATGAAATTAAATTTCTAGGTGTCATAGTTTATGACAAATTCTCCTGGAAATCTCATATTAGATATATTCAGCACAAAATAGCAAAAAATATATCGATATTGGCAAGGGTTAGATATATTTTGGACGGGAAAGCACTACGCATTTTGTATTCTTCATTGATTTTACCATACTTAGAGTATGGTGTTGAAAACTGGGGAAACACATACAAAAGCTCACTTCAA